TTGCGTTGAAAGGAGCCAGTTGAGGTGGTTTTGGCATCTGGTGAGGATGCCCTCCTGGGCGCCTCCCTAGGGAGGTGTTCCAGGCACGGCCCGCTGGGAAGAGGTCCCGGGGGGGGGGCCCAAGGAAGACCCAGGACTAGGTGGATGCCAGTCAGAGTTGGTAGATGTGGGAAGGGAAAGGGAAGTTTGGAGCTGTTGCCCCCGTGAGACGACCCCAGATAAGCGGTTGAAGATGGACGGTTGGATGGGTGGAGATACTAAATAAACAAAAATAACTTCATTTTTTAAAATGTTGGCTTGATTATCTGAATTAATTGTTGTTGACGTGGCATCCATTTAATCTTTTCTTTTTTAGATTGGCTATCTTTGAAAGCAACTAAGAGACAAAGCCTCAGAAACAAGTTTTATTAAAAGCTAAAAAACAAACACACCTGAAACTTTAAAACACACCCGGCAGAAGTGAGTCTCCTCCCCCCCCCCCCCCCCCCCCCCCCCCCCCCGGTTTCACACACACAAGCAGACGCACAAGCTTTGCCTACTTGACAGTCAGTGTGTGTATCTGGCCACGCTCCCGCACACTCACTGCAGACACACAGACGCGCTCTAGCTTAAGGAGCGAGAGTCATCGATCCAGCTTTTAATTTCACCACTCCGAATACACTTCTTTTTCGAAGTTTGTATCAAAATCATTATACCGCTATTCATTAGGACCCAGATTAATCTGAAGTGCATAGTAGCCGACACTCTGATGGGGAAATTGTTGTTGTTGATTAAATTATATATAATGATAAAACAATCTATTAGAGCAGACTCCAATATGTCTTAGTCATCATATAAATGAGATTTAAAAGATACAACTTTTACCTCCATCCATTTTTTTCCTGTATATCTGTCCTAAATGTTGGGTGGATCTTGTTGCTACACAATGGAAGGTTCCCTTGTTGAAGAATTAAGGTCTCGTGGGTGAAAGATGGGTAGGTGTTGCTTGGTGGTTTATCACAGCTGATGTAATGCTGGGTGTAGGCAGGCATGTGGTGCCTACTGACTGTGGGGTGTCATGTGCGTGCACACACTAAAGTCAACTATTAAACACGTATACAACCGCCTACACAATGTGTTTAATGATGCAAGAGGGGCTATGCGAGGAGGGACCCAATTGTAATTTTGTTTTACCATTACAAAGTAGAAACATGTTCTCACAAATATGTGTATGCTCAGGTGGCTGTATTTATTCTTCCTCTTGATACCAATCATCGAGCTATTTCTCCGTTTGAGCAACCTTATTTCTAAGTGAGAACAAGGCACAGTCACCGACCTGTGCAAAAATATTAATTGGCCATCTGGATTATCCAAATCGTCGAGGAAGTTAAATATATAGATGTATTGTTACTTATTAGCTCCTGAAATGCATCCAACCAGATGTATCTATTTGCCGTGGTTCAGGAAGAAAACCGATTTGCTTGATACAGATGAAAACTATAAAAGAATCCTCCCCAGTTTGGCCACCTCAGACTGCTGAAGCCTCATACGAGCTTTGGCCGACCTTCACAATGCACCTTTTTATGAAATGATTGCTGCAGGTTTTGTCTCCCTTTTTCCTACCGTAGATGCGGCAGTAGAGGATCTCAACACAACCAGGATGCAGAGAAGTAATCGGAGAAGGCACCAATAAGTCTGGAAAAAACCCAAACGGTGAGTATTCTAATAATGACCTGTTCTTTTTGAATTTTCCACTTGGCTTAGATGGAACGCCTTGATTTAAGGCCTTGTTTTGTTCTGGTAATTTATCCACATCCTACATGTGACGCACCGTTTGGAGCAGAGGACGTCCTTCCGCAGCAAATGACTAAACCGCATGTGTTTTGGGTTACAAGGGTCTCCAATGGCAGTGTGAGTTCTTCTTTTTGTCCGACTGGAACAAAGGCACAAGCAGTCAACTTGATATTGGTTAAAAAAACCTCTTCAAAGCGTATTGGGGGGTCAAGAACAGCTGTGACTCGAACAGTGAGATCCATGGTCAGCTGTTTGTGGCAGGTGACGTTGATTTAATCTTAACAAGACCTGGATTTGTATTTTGATAACTTGGCCACCATTGCTTAATACACTAAATGTAAATCTCCCATGTTTCCACATTGTACTTTTTGTTCCAATATATTTTCTGCCGCCCTCTTTCTTAATTCAAGTGCACATCTGCACAGTTCCCCACAAACGGCTGAAGAATAACGTCTCGTCGTCTAAGCACTTTAAGCACTGCTGCATATGTAAGTTTCAGCACAGAGATGATAATTCCTGGGCTCGCTAGCATGGATAAACAGGGAAAATGGCTTCTACATTATTGGATTTACTTTGCACAACAACTGTCCCCAAAAGCCTTAATTTTCCTGAACAGCTTTGTATTTGGCAGGAGTTTCTTACAACAGCACGCTGAGTGGCTGCACAGGTTTTATGGTGCTGTGCATCACTTTATGGTGTTCAATCATGACTGTGTGTCAGGTGCTTAACTCTGCTGTATTTAGTAAATCTATTGTTGGCAGCTGGAAATTTAGCATTAGCATGTTACACACAGAATTATACGTACTTCCAAGAACTGAAATGTTGTTTACAAGGAAATAGACATTGAGATAAGTTTGTTGTTTACGCAAATGACTTGGCTCAGAAAGTGTTGTATTTGTCCCCATTGCTTCGGCACGGCTTCATTCATTAACATTTAATAGTGTTTAGCTTCTTGCTTACCTACATACATCAACAAAAATAGAACAACTATGTACAATGTTTTTGTTTTATTTGCCTCTACTTCTGTTTTACAAACAGAGATTTGGGGAAAGCAAATACATTCAGAGTCGACTTTGTTAATAAAACTTACAGTACAATAATATTAACGGTATAACATAACCACCCACTAGTTCCCCCATATTTGTGCACTAGCTTTGATTATGAATATGTGTCAGAGAATGTGAACTGCTGGAGGTTCACCATTTGCTAACTTCTCCTCTCGGCCGATCGATGGCGCGGGGGGTAGAGCACTTTTCACTGAAAACAACCGCCGACTGCTACCAAAATAAGATACCGAGGAGAACTGTGGACCAATGCAGTGGATTTGTAGTGTGAGTCAACATGTGATTAAAAATATTGATTATATCTGCTTTAAAGATGTAACTCTGTCCATGGTCCAACTTAAGAACGGTGTGTTATTGTGCTGTTTTTGTAATGAAATAGTTTTTCTGTTTCTGATGACAATTTGAATCATGATTTTTTGTGTCATAATGCGTGCGTTGTGTGGGTGTTAAATTTAATTTTGTGAAAACACTTCACCTCCAAAATTGAACCCATTCTAATTCTTGCAATTTGAAAGAGGCGTGTGAGTTTTTTTTTTTTTTTAATTCCTGTAAGGATGCTTTCTTTGAAATGAAAGCTCATTGTCTGGCAGCAGTAATGTTATCTCTGTCTTGGGAATAGTTGGTTTAGAATAAGGATGAAGAAATCTCTTCCTGTATGAGGCAAGGAATAAATCCTCTGCAGATCCCCTTACTGTAGATGGTCGATTGTAGATGATAATAATAGAAAAATGTAATTTTATTGCTGCTAATCGGCACTTTTATACACATAAAACTGACGCCTTTTGATTTATTTATCACAGTAAGATATTCATCACTATCTAACTGTTGTCTGAAGTATTGAAATAGTAACAACATTTATTCTTCATTCATTCCTTTTCCATTTTCATTTCCATGTTTCTGGAATGCTTTTACACTTTAAAGGAGGACACTCAAATATTTTTCAGAGTGCTGTCACGAGGAGTGAGTTATTCAGAAGACAAAAGGGAGCCGACATCCAAATCAGAGCAGTATCTTACCAGCTCGATGGCATCTGCATCCCCGGTCACAGTGGTGATGCTCGTATGGAGCGGGTTTGTTTGTATTTCAAGATGGCAGCAGTCTATGAAGGTTTCTCTTTGAAGCTACGTGGTTTATGCAAGTGTCATGGCAGGCGGCTTTGGTCAGCGCTCTACCTGGAGAAATCCATTTGCATCGGGGGGTGCGTGGAAAGCAGTGCCAGGGGGAAGATAACACGGAAATCTCTTCAAACGCAGGCAGCCCGTTCTTTTCCATCGGGGCACTCAGAAGTTCAAGGTTTCTTTTCTGAGACAGGAAACGAGTGCAAAAATGTGCTTTGCCAGGTCGGTGTTCCCCTGGGCTCATTAGTGGATCACTGGGAGAGTGATTGGATGATTACTTGTTATTGTTGGATTTTGATGAGGATTATTAAAGTGATTAATTGGCTAGCGGATGATTGAGGGGTGGAATGCAGGCTGGCTCTAGCTGGAGATGTGCAGCTGCTGCAGTGATCAAAGGTCAACGTATTTCTTTGTGTTTTTGTTTCTTAAACGTAATTCTTTACCCACGCAGGGCAGCTGGAATTGTAGTTGAGGGAGAATAACAAGACTGCTCTTCGACCTTCGACTTGAATAATAGTCTTAGATAGCAAGAAAAGTGCCACAAACTCTTCCTTGAGGACATAATGTAAAACATAATACTTGCACGTACACAGCAGAAAAAACCAACACAATACCCAGAAAACACTTTTTTATAGGATTATAAACTTCACACCTGAAAACATTTCTGATAAAACACGTGTACTATTGCAGCCTTTTTTTCCCCAACCCCTAAAAACCGTGTTTGGCATCACGAACTCCACCTGTCCTCTTATTGAGCTGTTGATGGGCACTTCTCGTTTTCAAGAGGCATCGAATCTTTTGAGAGAGAGAAAGGCATACATATTGCAGACGCGCGCACAGACAGAATATAATATAACGTCCCTGCCAGCCGCAGGCGAGCTATATATATATATATATATATAAAATATGTGGGTAGGGTTAGGCTCTGGTTTGCAGCATGTTATCCAGTATTTGCTGCTAGGTGGAGCCCGAGTATACGGCGAGAGCGGCATCGCGAGTTCTTCCCCCCCCCCCCCCCTCTCACCTTTCACAGGCTCTCCGAACCCTCAGTCTCCACGCACAACTACCCGCAGCCAGTGCGCACAATTGGCTTGTCCGATTCTCACAGCCTCCGGGACCCAAACGACCTATAAGACTATTTTGATTTTTTTTTGGGAGGGTCTTTTTCCTCCCATAATCCCCTTACCCCTTTCGCCCGCCATTCTCAAATTCTTTTGGGGTACTCTTTACGCGCGTGTTTGTGTGCGCGAGTGGCGACGGCTTGCTGGCGTTTCGCCTTTCAGCTCCACGGGACGTGATGTAGCCCCCCTCCCCCGTCCCCCTCCTCGCACAGAAAGGACGCAGCCTCGTGCCATAAAGGGATGTAAGGGACAGCGGCGTGGATACATCCCCAGGACGCGCACGGCGGACTCGAGCGAAGCGGCTGCACGAGGATATTGAACCGGAGCGACCGCAGGTCACTGTTTTGGATTCGTTTTGTTTTCTTGCTCATCGGACCCTCCCCAATCCCATCTCTCTCATCAAGTCCGTTCCCTGCCCGTGGTGCGTAAGGACGAGTACCCCCCACAACCCCCCCCCCCCCGCGACTCAAAAACAGCTGAGGGAGAGAAATGCTCGCTTATACTTTGCCGGGAAGGACGTGAGCTCTCCTTGCGTCTCACCGGTGCTTTCTAAATGCGCGGTAAGTGTGACTTTCCGCACCCGAACGCGTGTCCGTGCGCACTTGTACCATCGTCGGCATTATGTGCAGATTCCGCCGCGGGCGTTAGTAATGCCCGGTAGTGCATCCCCCCGCTGCAGTGTTGATGTGCTCGGTAACGCCGGTGTTTGGCGTGCGCGGCGCTCTTAATTACTTTAACTGGGATATCGATGCCTTCAGGTGTGATCAGCGCGGATTTGAGGCGCAACGTATTGATAGCCGATATGAACATTTCAATTTCCCGTCGGACTAATTAATCCGCTCTGCTGGACTGCGGCATTAAGATCAAATGCATCCGGAGAATTGTTGGTTTGGTGAAAGGTCCTTTTTGTCTCATTCACATGGTGCTGAAAATGGCTTTGCGAAGAAGTTCCATTCTGAATGCGTACCTATGAATCAAGTTCGCGCATTGAAGAAGATTGTGAGGTCATGCTGGTGAATTGTTTACAGCCTCTGCTCTTTTGCACTTTACATTGAAAAGGCGCAGACCGCACTGAGACCGTCGCTCACTGTGAAGCAATTAGACTTAAAAAAAACATCAAGAAATGTGTCAATGCAGCTCTTTGTTTTCTGTTGTAGTTTGTTGTTCGGGAGGAGTGAGGCAGTGGTTTCCTACAGATGACTATCTGGAATAAGATGTGCCAGATATGTGAATGTATGTAGGATTAATATGTTATATATACGCACACGCTTTTTAAAAGTGTTACTATTGCTTTTTTGATACTGCACAGCACACCTATTTATTTAATGGACAATGTGATGGAAGTAACAGTGAGCAGATGCCTCCGCCGAGGAAGACTTGCTGCCCCGCGTCTGGTAGAAGTGCGGCGTTGTGCCGCATGCTTTGATGCAGGGACAGAAAACTGTCTTTCAACATCAGAATCAAAGTGGACTCTGTAACTAAGCCGATCACCTGGAGTCCGAGCAAAGTCTTTCATCTCCAAATAATGATTGTAAATTTGGTTCTATGTTTAAATTTTATCCGAAACAATGTGGTTAACTCGGAAAGGCCTTTTCTTGTCTAGGATTAGGCCTCTTGTGATTCAGATGTGTGACTAGCTTACTCTCTGTAATTTCCCTCCTATTTCACAATATCATTAACATTACTGCTGGTTGTATCCTGATTTTATTAATTACATTTATTATGTCCTGAACTGCAGCGCCATTTGTCATATCATCTGCATTGGTAGAAGTGTCCTCAAGCAGATCGAACACACACACACACACACACACACACACACACACACACACACACACACACACACTCCTCTACCAACAGTAAAATCTTCCTCCTCCACCTGGGAAACTCAAGGGGACATTTGATTATTATTTTTTTTTATCTCAACCTGCACACTTTTGTTTTCTGTGTGTCTCCATTTTGATTCAGTTAAATGCTGCTCCTCGTGGAATACTGTCTTGGTTACATTTAATATAACCGCGCATGAACTTAGCATCTGGCAGCACAGCTGATGGGACGGCACCGTATGAAAATAGAATAATTGTTCCCTTACTCGAATCTGTGGTTGTCCAATGTAAAGAGATGGCGTTCTGAATATGAGCCAGTGTGCTGATCATCGTTTGGATCGGTTATCGCTGGTAACGGGACGCATTATGATAGCAAGGTGCTATAAATATGAATGAAAACTGGCAGGTAACAGACTGATTTACTGTACATGACTGTTGCCAGTGTTTCAGCACTAAAACTAAACTATAACTAAAAATATATATCTTTTTCATCCACATAAAAAAACACCTAACTATGAATTCATGGAGGCCTCATGATCTTTTTTTGCCTTTTTTCGTCATGAGCCATAATTTTAAGAGGACATGGGCTCTGGCAATTTCTTCATCAAGTAACATGTCACAGGCCTTTTAACTGGAGTGTTAATTTGAATAAGCGTTCTTCAAATAGCATTCAAGGCCGTACTCCGTCCCCCTCACACACTCGTGGATCCCTTTGTTTTGAAATGAACGAGTGTACCTATTCCGCTTTAAACTCATCACCTTAAACTTTAAAGATGCTGAATTTAGTGAGACCTCCCCTGGCCTATGACTCCAAAATACTAATCGACCCAGGTCTGAAAAGCGCCGGAGGAGAATTGCTGAGTGAATGAATACCTTTTTCATGCCAATCTAAATGCTTTGTCTGGAACGGTCTGGCATTTCACTATAGCTTGAATATAATGCTCAAGGTCATACGGCACATATCCTTTCAGCTATTCACATTTTCATCTCTTTTGGGATTTGAAACTGTATTGGTTGGGATTTGTTTTTCATATTTTCACGGACCCTAGCACTTATGAGGGGAAATATTCAATGGTATTTTTATTCATCAAAGTCAGAGAGTTGGTAGAGGTACGCCATCGCAAAGGCTTTAAATTCAAACCCTTTTTTGGCAGCTAGGAAATACACTTTGCTGGAATTGTAATCAATTTGCTACAATCAAAGTTGATGGCTTCACTTACTGTAATGTAACGTCCCTCCCTCTTCCATTTACTTCAATTGAAGCCAGTGCAATGACATGGATTTTCTTTAGAGCAGAAAGGATCATTTGATTAATTTATTGTTATCCAATAGAAAATGTTTTTTCGTTTGGGCCTAACACAGGCAGCAGCACCCATATGTTGAGTTACAAAATAAGGAGAACGCCACGAGTGAACGCTGCATCTCACAAAGTTGGTCTAACTTATGGATTCTGAAACGTGTTTTGCAGTTGAATTAATTTGTTCATACCCACTGCCGCATCCTAGGGACCGTCAAACAAGGGAACATGACGCTCTCTATTTTCTGGCAGTTTTTTAAAATTAAGGATGCACCGATATTGTTATCAGGCACAAAACTGTGCGACTACTACTCGAAGCCCTACGCCAACACAACCGCACCCTATTTGGGACGTTAACCTCTTGTCACCTTTCAACTATAGATTTATGCACGAGGAGGTTAAATTCATCCGGGCAGTCCTCACAGTCGCCTCGGCAGACACTTTAGTCTCCACCGCATCAATCGCATTAGCCGTGAGGTTGTCGGCTGACTGTTGGGCCGGCACGAACTGCGTGCTTGGCGTAACATTCGCCAGAGAGGGAGGGCGGCCGTGTGTGTGAGACGGGTAAAGTCAGCGGTAATATTATATTATAGCTGATAACGCAGCGCTGCAGTGTGTGTGCACAGTTTATTAGCCGGTGGATATCTACTTTAACTCCCCAAGGCCGGTGAGGAAACCCATGGTAAATTATTGGGATTAGCACTGAAGTTCGGAAGGACTCCGGTTACATCTGCAGGGTAACCCTATCGACCAGAAGGCTCGGGGATTTAAAAACTTGTTCTTTACATATTTTATATATACATTTGATGTCTTTTTTTGACATACTGCTTCGTCTGGTGGCCAAAGATCTATGCCCCCCCCACACACACACACCCCTTCTGTACTGTATTAACATTCCTGTGAGCCAAATCTCACCCACTGCTACAGTGAGGCCCTTTGGTTTTTGTAAGGTCCAAAAGACCAGAGTTATCATGCTGTTAGGAGGGAGACAGGTTGGACCCATGGGGCCCTTTCTCTGGCAGGAATGTCACAAAAGGAGAAAGCTAAAAGCTGAAAATGAAAAAAGAAAACACATGGCTGAGGAAAGGTCCTCATGGTCCACGCCTCTCAACACTTTAGCTGTCCTGTCTCATAAAGAGCTTGGACTCAAAGGGTTTGACACAAGCTTTCACAACCCTGTGCAGGAAATGGAGGTTACAGTTTGGATGGAGACTTCAGCTGCTGCTTGATGGAAAGAACAGACAATTAGTGTGTGGATCCTCTGAAGCTCTGTGAAGAGTCCACCCCGATGTTTGGGAGCATTTCAAAGAAAACGGTACCCAAGAGTCAGTGTTCGAGGAGCAGATTTTGCTATACAACATGAAGTGTAACATGCTATTGAATATATCTGACAGTGGAAGGGTTGAAGTGTTTGCCATCAATGTTTTTTGTGTTTATTACAACCCTTCAAATAAGACTTTGAAGGTCGACAAAACAAAGTACAATTCAACCTGGTATTTGTTATGCAATATATATACTAATGTCAAAAAAATCGTCGTAAACACTGTGTGACACAGCTACATCTATTTTGAGAAAAAGGAAAAAATCCCTTTTTGTTTTCCACCGGTTCACCTATAAATATCAACATGATTAAGGGGATTATCAAATTAATTCCAAGCAGTCTCTCTGTGGCAGGTTCACAAGTTCCGATGCGAGAGAGGGTGTGTGTATGGTGCTTTGATGAGGATGTGTGCTTAGTCTAGTATGGAACTAGATTTGGGAAGTCTGCGACTTCTCCGATACTGCAAATAACAATACATTTAAAATTAAAATTTGATTTAGATATTTGTGCATGAAGGTTTTTGTGGACTTTAAAACAAATAATTTTCTTACTCTCATTTTGGTACACATTTTGTACCACTGCGTATGAGGCGGAGATAACATACCAAGCTCATGCTCCGGGTGTCTACGTCACCATCACCATTGACAGTGTGCTTTTGCTATCTGCGAGGCCTCCACCCTTAATTTGACACGTAGTTAAATTGTCCCCGGGGGGTCAAAACACTTAGCAGGCGCGTTTCGACACCAAGTCTTCCTGCCGAGGGAACGTGAGCGCCGAGCATTAACTCGCTTGTTCAAATGCAGCTGTGCGTTTCATGTACGGGGATGGAAATGCTTTTTTTGTGTCGCCGCAATGATTCTGATGAGAATGTTTCTTGCGGAGGGCGGCTTCCGCAGTACGTCTGACCAGCGATAAGTACAGCGATCCAACCGGTTGGCCCTCACTTGATGGAAAAGATACAGCGCTTGTATACGACTGTTAACTGTAGCCCCAATGAGATTAAAGAAAAATGGCCCGAGAAAAATGAATTTCTGCGAGCGAAAAGGATACCTTCTCGGCCCGAGTGCAAATATGGACCCAAAAATGTCAACTTAGCATTTAAAGCAATCCGAGCCACTC